CTGCACGTTTGAAGTTTGCAAAAGAGCACCTGGATGTTCCACAGCACTACTGGCAACATATTCTGTGGACAGATGAAACCAAAGTTGAGTTGTTGAACATCAAAACCTCATCGCAACTGTGAAGTATGGGGGAGGGAGCATCATGGTTTGGGGCTGCTTTGCTGCCTCAGGGCCTGGACAGATTGCCATCATCGACGGAAAAATGAATTCTCAAGTTTATCAAGACATTTTGCTGGAGAACTTAAGGCCATCTGTCCACCAATTGAAGCTCAACAGAAGATGGGTGATGCAACAGGACAACGACCCAAAGCACAGAAGTAAATCAACAACAGAATGGCTTCATCAGAAGAAAATACGCCTTCTGGAGTGGCCCAGTCAGAGTCCTGACCTCAACCTAATTGAGATGCTGTGGCATGACCTCAAGAGAGCGATTCACACCAGACATCCCAAGAATATTGCTGAACTGAAACAGTTTTGTAAAGAGGAATGGTCCAAAATTCCTCCTGACCATTGTGCAGGTCTGATATGCAACTATAGGAAACGTTTGGTTGAGGTTATTGCTGCCAAAGGAGGGTCAAACAGTTATTAAATCCAAGGGTTCACATACTTTTTCCACCCTGCACTGTGAATGTTTACATGGTGTGTTCAATAAAAACATATTGTTTGTGGTGTTTTAGCTAAGCAGATTGTGCCTATCCCTTGTTGTGACTTAGATGAAGATCAGAACACATTTTATGACCAATTTATGCAGAAATCCAGGTAGTTCCAAAGGGTTCACATACTTTTTCTTGCAACTGTATTTCACCCCGGTAGTGATTTAGGCCTTGTAGCAAGATGCCATGTCTGCACACAGCTATTTGTAGGCCTTCCTCATCCACCTTGGCGCTGGACTTGTGTGAGATTTCTCTGCAAGCTGTGAATGTTGCCGGTCCACAAACATCACGACCATTTTTCTGAAATAGACACAATTTGTTACATTTAACCCTGTGCTAAGTAAAATAAATAAAGGGTTAGTGGGTTGAATAGATTCTTACACTCGTCACCTGGCTCCTGATTTTGTCGACAAAGGCAAACACTTTACTGTCCTGGGCAATGAACAGTCCATCAAATAGAGACAGTTCATCTGTCCTGCGAAATTCGAGAAAGAAATTCTAAGCAACATTATCATACATACATACGTTTGATTGTGTCCTCTATTTAATGTGGGCAATTTGCTTTTGCTATACATTTTTCATAAATACTGAAAAGGTCTTTGTGAATTTTATCTGTAATTCTGCGTAAAGCCTTTTGTCACCATTATTTAAAATTAGTGAAAAGTTTACTGAATTCTTGTAAAAATAAAAGTACGTCCTTTAAATTGCTGGGCATGGAATAGGGCAGAGGAAGGCAGAAAAAAAGTTCCTGGACAATTTAATACATTTTTCATGAAGCGATTATATCCAAAGCTGGTTCTTAACCGAGCTCCAACATATCCAACTAATGTCAACCATTTAACATTTTAAAGTTGAGTTAAATTTACAGGCGTCATATACAATAATGTTTATGAATTGGATTTATATAATTGTGTAATTACAAACCAACTGTTGTTTTCTAATGGTCTACAAACTTTGGAAAATAAAAAAAATATTTAAAATTGTAGATTTGGGGAAAAGTTAAACATTTCAGCAATGACATTCATGCTTAATCATAAAGCATTGAATGGTTTAGGCCCAAAATACATTTCTGACCTCCTGCTAAATTATTCTTAATGCCTTTCATTTTTTGTAAAGCACTTTGAATTGCCTTGTGTTGAGGTGTTATATAAATAAACTTGCCTTGCCTTAGTCAATAAAACAAAATGAGAACACTAAAATGAGAATATGATTTCACTGACCCTCTGGACTTCTTGAAGCGATAATGCTTTCTATTGCCATCTACAGCAATAGCCAGCATGTCAGGTGTGCATGCTGGGCATTTAAAGGGCTCCACCAGGCACAGATCTTCTTGTCTGTAATTACAGAAGGCAAACTCCCGAAAGACTCTGTGGAAGGTATCGCCACAAATTCTGCCTGTCTGGACACAAGAATGGAATTCATTTGGTTAATTGAAAGTTTGGTATTCTAAAATCTTGAAATCCACATTTTATTCTTACCTGTCCTGTGGAAAGCGATCGATGTTCAAGCATTTTTATAAATACTTGCTGGGATAATGCTGTGCTGGCCAATTTCATTTGCTCGAATTATGTGAACACATCAAACTAAAAAATCATTTTGCAGCTGCTGGTTGCTGGGGACCATTTGGTGGAACAAATTATACAGCACACAGAATGCAGGTAAACGCTGTATGGACCTGAGAAAAAATATAAATGTGCAATTTGACAGGTATCTATGTAACACAGGACAAAAGTATAATAGTAATCCTGTATTTTTGCTTGACTACACAGGGCTCGACATTAAGGACTGCCCGATGGCCCGGGGCCATCTAGTATTTAGCTCGGGCAATGAAGCCTCACCTGCTGGTTGCCCGATCGGGCAATCTATTATGCCAGTATCAAGCAGCTCGCGGATCCAGTAATGAGTGACCCGACAGTAACACTAAACATATCTATAACTAGTTTAGGTAGTTTGAGAGGTAATTAAAAATAGCTACGTGTGATATTTTAACCTGAAGTGTGTGTTTTGTCCGCTCACCGCTGCATGTGATCATGCAGAGCTGCGTGTCGACTCGTCAGCAGCAGCTGATCTCTCTCTCCCGTCAGATTAGACTTCACTTGCGTTTATGTCCATATTGATCAGATCCAGCTAGTTCTAGCTAATGATATGACTACCTGCTTATTAAAAGACACCTAAACAATAAGTGTCGCTATGCAACGTGGTGAGTCCACAAAGTATAGCGCAGCTTATGCATTTGTTTACATGCCCACCGATACCCCGAGGCATAACTAACAGATCAACNTCTGTCACATAAGTGGCGCAACTGAAGCGGTATTGCGCTAAAGGGAAATTATTTTGACCGGACATTTTGACCGAAGAGATTTAGATTTGCCGGCTAACGGGAACTCTGACGTTGCCATTTTGTGTGCTTCGCGGATGCGCACGGCTGCTCGGNCAACGCACAATCAACCCATACAGCACATCTCTTTCTCCACATTAAGTGTTACACATTAGAATTGACTACTCTTGTCTGTCACATACTCTTCTTGTCTGTCACATAAGTGGCGCAACTGAAGCGGTATTGCGCTAAAGGGAAATTATTTTGACCGGACATTTTGACCAAAGAGATTTAGATTTGCTTGCTAACGGGAACTCTGACGTCGCCATTGTCTGTGCTTCGCGGATGCACTCGGCTGCTCGGGTCTGCTCTGTCAGCTTCTAGATGAGGAGGCATTCCTTCGACCAAATGACAGTAGATAACATTACAAACATTTTTAACAGGGGCCATAATAGCGTAAATAATGTTTGTTTTGGCAGTTACAACTGCATGTAATGTTTTCTACTTTTTTACATCTGGGAAGGCATTTGCCTTCAACAGATGGAAAGTGTCTTGACCAACAACTTAAGTATTTATTATAGCTATGCAGGGCATGCAAGCGAGCAAACACAAACAAGTGAAATGAAGAATACAATTGAAATTGTAATATTGTGGTGGTTCATCTTATAATTCAGTCTATAGAATGCACCAGACAGCATCTAAGACCTGCAAAAATCTAAATGTTCTAGGGGGAGGCCCCCCAAACCCTTCGTGCGTCATTTCGTCCGCGCGCATTTTTCAGGGCAATCTCTATTGGGCTCAGGGCCATCTGTAAATTAGCTTAGATGGCCCACAGGGCCATCTCCCAAAATCCTTAATGTCATGCACTGATTGAGATGAACTTTTGTTATTGACCAAATACTTATTTTACACCATAATTTGCAAATAAATTGTTTAAAAATCAGAAAATGTGATTTTCTGGATTTTTTTTTCTCGTTTTGTCTCTCATAGTTGAGGTATACCTAGGATGAAAATGGCAGGCCTCTCTCATCTTTTTTAAGTGGGAGAACTTTGCACAATTGGTGGCTGACTAAATACTTTTTTGCCCCACTTTATGTGTTTCAGGTAGTAATCAAGACTGCCAGGGACATCTTCAAACGTTTAAAAAAAAACTCTATATTAGCTGGAGATCAGTAGTGGAAAGGTGAACATTTAATATTCTGTTTATTTAAAAAACGTAACTGGCTGAAATCTTAAC